GAGTAGAGATGTAAGTATGGCCACTGATCCATTTATGTTAGCCATTGATCCTTATAATTTATAAGTCTTGCTCAGAGTACAAAGCTTGATGTCCCAGCTGCTGGTTTGGGCTCCTGCAGGAGCAGCACAGGTGGAGAATTTCTCAGTTCAAGAATGAATTCGTGTTATGAGGCAACTTCCCTGAACCATATAAGTCTGATGGCCCCTATAACTGCTTTGCATTACATGACTTTTGATGGCATGTGAGCACCCGCTTAAATGGGGAGCTGGAAAATAGGTAGCCTGTATACGAGGCAACCACTCATTTGAGATCAGATCTATGCAGTCATAATCAGCATTTCTTGCTGGCTTGCATGACCACTTATAAAATTTTGGGTTTGAGAAGCATGTTTGGAGGAGGTAGGGGGAGAAGTGTTTTTGAAAAGCAGGTAATGATTCCCAAACGTACTTAGGTAGATTTTCTGAAACCTCTTCCCTTCTGATGTGCTGTTTTATCTGGTGTTCTGTCCTGTCATTATGAAACAGAAAAAATTTATCAGCCAAAGATTTCCAGCTTAATATGACAAGCGTTATGGATAGCATAGTAAGAAGTAAAGTAATTGGTTGATAAAATGCCATGGCAGGGACAGGGTGTAGATAGATGAAAGGTGGAATGCTTGTTTCATGAGATGTTTGATATCTACCAGGAGACTGGCTTTCACTGTTGTATTCTGGAGTGGGCAAATGGTATAACTTGTGCTAGTCTGATGAGGAGCACAAATTTTAATGGAGGTACTGTGTTTTTTTTCTTCTGATAGCGTTAACACATCTACGTAATGTCCAAAAATTCTTAAGAAGCTTTTGCTGATAATTTTTAAATCATACATGTTTAGAGGATATATCTTATAAAAAGCACTTTTTCTTGTATGTTTTTAACACAAATTTCACTCTTTACCATCATTGTGACTGTAGTAGTCTTCCTCATTTCTTGTCTTTCTGGGAGGAAACTCGGTTTGGTCAACAGCTTGGTGCTCTGTTGTGACTTTAGCAATGCTGGTCTTTTGTCTTTGTTTAAATCCTTTCATCATCTTACAATTTTTTTTAATATATAATGTTTTTATACGCTTGGGATCAGCTCATGCCTGTTATTTTCCTTTTACAGCACCTCTCAGTAGCTTACTGCAAATATTATCGAAAAAGTATATAAGCACTTGGTCATGAGACTGATTTTTTTGTGATGATTGTTGCTGGCAGTGTTGCTATGAGTTGCTATGTGACTTCAGGAGTGCCAACAGCTGCTCTTGTGTTAGTTTATTTTTTTTATAATTAGGATTAACCTAGTGAATGAGAACTTTTTTCTGCCGGTAGTTCTGTCACAATACAAGTACATTCTTAAAGCTATTTATTTTATAAGAGGAAAAAACAGTGTGTAGGAGGGGTAAAAAAAAAAAAAAAAAAAAAAAAAAAGTTTACGCTCTACTTGAAAGATTGATCTAGAAGTAGTTTGTTTACCTGATCTAAAAGAATCTCAAAAATGAATGATTTGATCCCTGTTTAGTCTTCAAAGAGGTTCCTTTCACGAGACCATTATGAAGCACAGGGGGCTAGAGCATATGACATTAGAGGGTCAAAGGGATATGTTTTGTTCATCTTTAAGAGAAGGATAGGGAAGGATCTGTCTTCAGTCCTCTTCTACCTTAAGTCTCGTGGAGAAGGTGAAGATATATTCTTCTGGATACATGCAATGGAAGGACAGAAAGCAAGAACCACGTAAGAAAAAGGGAGACATAAAGGAAATACTTTATACTTTGCTTTAGTTTCCTCAGAATGGCTACCTCTCAACGCGGACTTGTGAAACAACTTTTTGAAGCTTTTTGATAACTGGAAAAATGGTCACAGGGTGCAATGTATGCAGTTATGCTATGAGCACAGGGTCAGTTTTGGAAAAAGTGACTCATGATTCAGCTTCACTTGGAAGCTTCTGGAAGAGGATAATGTTTCAAAATGGCTGGAAAGTGTCAGGGGAGCTTTGGAACATGAAAAATGTTTTTAAAAAAATTAAGCATTTCTACCAATAATGATGTAAGCTTAAGGCTATTGTACAGAAATATTTCTAGACAGCTTATTTCTTTGTTGTGAGTTAATGTTAACGCATGCTTTCTGGCTTGTGAAGGTGATATTCTGTTTGGTTGATTTGCTCTATTTCAGAAAAAGACAGGCTTTTAGTTCCAAATGCATTTTTCTGGCATCCAGATTTCTGTCTTTCCCCTTTGTATTAACAAAAAGTTTATGGACTTATTTTCAGGTAGTACAATAAGCCATTCCACTCGTGGCAATGTTCTTAGAGTGATGTCTATTCCAATAGCAAAGACTAAAGTAGCTGTGGGGGCTTGCCCATGTAATACTGATTGCTAGTAAACATGTGCAAATTACAAAAGTAAAATGAATTCTTGGCTGAATGTTGCATTAGTGATATTGAAAAGTATTTGGGATAAGATGAAAATTCTCTCCTGCAAGAAGTTTTTGTTCTTTATAGGGTATTATCTCTCTACACACAGTCTTTCTGATCTGTGTTTGTAATACTGTGCTGTGCCTAGATTTGAATAGTAAATCTGTGGCCAGAAGAAGCCAGTGCCATATATATCCAGTAAATATTGCAAAATACTCACGGTTGTTTATTATGTAGCAAAATAAAGCCTCTATAAATATTTTGCAGAGGCAGAGTAGAATTACTGTGTATTTACAGTGTGAAGATCTGCTGTACTTCTACAGAAATTGTTACACTGAAGTTCACTTGTGCTTTTTTATGTATTATGCTATATCTGTAGTTTCATATTGCAGTGTAGCAAGGATTTTTTCCAGCATTTCATCAAATCAGCTCATTATCAAGTCTGTCTATTGATACAGTCAAGATAGCATGAAGTTATATTTAAATTACCAACTAATCATTTTAAGAAGTGTTTTTATATTGCAAGTAACATCTTACAGTATACTTACGTCTAATACCTTGACTATTACTATTCAATTATTTCATAAACTAAGACATGCTTATTGGAGCAGCTACTTTACACTGGCAACAAGAACTCTAGAAATGTAGTTTTAAGTTAGTGAAACAACTAAAATCAAGTTGAATGGTTATTAAATATACATAATCTCTTCCAGTAGGATGCTGTTTTGTTTCAAACGAAGTTTTCTGCATTATAACACGGAAATATGATTTTAAGGTATCTGTAGGTGTTTGCCACATCACTGGAAATAAATGGCATGTGCTATGTTCTTATCTTTAATAGTTTTAAAAATAGTTCAGATCAACACACTTGAAAGTGTATCTTTTTGTAGAATACAGAGAGGATATTGCTTATTGTCAATGCTCAAGTCTTTCACTTTGCTTCTGGTAAAGAAGAAAATGTGGAGTCAGAACTTGGGGTATTGTGTTGAAAACTGATCTTAGTGTGCATACACAGTTAAATGAGCAGCTCACAAAATAAATGAGTTTGGTTATTCTGACTGCCCTAGCTTTCCCAATCGATGGGTTACCTTATTGAAAATTTTGTTTGTGTATATGTTCTCTTAGTTCTTTCAAAATGTATATTGGTGGCTCCACTCAGAGTGAAAATGGTCATGTGCATAGTTGAGTACTGGATTGATCTGATCATGTTACTTGAATATTCTGTCTCTGTCAGTGTCTGGGTTGGTAACTGAAATTCAGAGCTTTTTAGCAGTTAAGCTTGCTTTTCTAAATGAGAAAGCACATCTAACAGTGTTAGTTTTCCAAAAATTCTGTTGGCAATGGACTAGTAAATTCAAACTTCAAGAAGGTGGACTTTTTCTGTCAGAAATGAGGAAGCTATCTTACATCTGTAAATTTGGGAGCAGTGAACTGCTAGTTTGTTTGCTTGCCTTTTCTTTCCTAAATTGAAAGCTGAGTCGCCAGAGACAGGGCCTTTTTGGTGTCATTGTCCTGCTATTTAAAAGCTTTTGGTGAAAATTTACTCCATTTAGGGGTGTTCATCTTTCCTTGAAATTACTAACATTTGATTTCAGAAATATGCAGAATAGACATTTATGAACGAAAACAATCCAAATAATAGCTGACATTTCTGAAGTTTCTATACATTTATTGCAGTAAAACCAGAGTTTCATTCAATGTGAGATTCAATTAACCAAAAATTTCACTTTATGTAAATTCCATTTTGCTGTAATACGTACTTGTCAGCAATATGAAAACACATTCTTGTTTTATTTTTTATGAGGAATTTTCATCTAAGATGAGTTAAGAGTTTTCTATGTATATAGCTGAAACATAAAACTAATTTGGTAAACAAGAAAACAGTTCGGTGTACCAAAGGATTCCCTTCCTGGAACTTCATCCTCTTGCGTCCCTTTTGTTGCCTTATCCAATGCATTTACAATTGATTGATCAAAATACTTTACAGAAGAAAAAAATATATCTAAGGACTTGGTGAGGATCATTGCTAATCAGCAAAGAGTTTTAAATTAAGTCCTAAAGTGCTTTCTTGTGATGTATGGTTTCCTCAAAATGGCCAGATCTTTTCTTATGAGTCAGTCCTGAGGTTTCTTCATGAGACTTCAAAAATAGCTGAGGTGCAAAGTGAGAGCGATGTGAGAAGCAGAAATTGTGATCAAGAACTGTTTTGGCTTTGCTAATAAATTTGTATTGATCAAGAGGTATGTTGTACTAACCTTGTTTCATGGAGTTTGCATCTTTGTACATCAAGGCTTGCACCTGCTGTGGAAAAAGTTCCTTCCCAGCACTGCAGTGACTGTCTTTGTGGGCCCAACTCTCACATATAGTTGGGTTTTCCTGTCTATTTAAGAGAAAGTTGATATAAGGAAATAATAGTAAGGAAATAAACCTTTATGTGAGAATAGTGTCGTAGTAAAATCCTTTTCTGAACAGCTGGCTGTGCATGAGTTTTGTACGTACTTGTTTTTTTTGTGCTGCAAAGCCCAGTGAGCAAAAAGGTGACTCACCTATGCTCTGTTATTTTGTTTTACAGGAAAAAGCTCAGTGTTTGCAGAAGGCTTTTGCTTCCCAGGCAGATAAATCCACACAGACAGAACTTTTTGGCCATGATGTAAGTAGCTGTATTGAGTAGTACTGTTTTTTAATAGTCTTTATGGGTGTTCAAAGTTCTATCAGCCTGTTTACCTCTGCTGCTGTCGTGTCCATGCATTGATTTAATGGAATTTACTGGAACAACATTCATCCTGTGCTGTTAATTGATTCTCAAATGGCTTCTGCAACATGAGAATATAATTGCAACTACCTGCTAGCATACCAATACTGTATTAATTTTATGCTTTGCAAACAGCTCATAATTAGTATAAGTGAATGTGGTGGGTATGTATTAGTAGATTGTAATTTTCTTCAGTATTGATGGTTATTTACATGTTTATTAACAAATTAATGACATTATTGCATTTATAATCACCATATGCTGTGTGAACATTATTTGCATTTTGGAAGATAATAGAATAAGTACACTTATGCTAAGTATTGTTAAAGCTCTTAAAGAACATCAGTCAAAATTCGTCTTAGAAAGTGAATTGATTATTTTTTTTTTTTCTCTCATGTAGAAGATGGAACGTAGAAAATGGTTTTTGTCTATTTTTTAAATTTTATAATAGATCTCTTTTTATTGATATATCAGTTGAACATAAGTGATAGATTTGCTTCCTTACGTGAGCTTTCTTAAATAATCTGAGATTAAGTATGCCACGATATTTAATGTTTAGGATGCTTTTCTGTTCTATCATTTGGGCTTAGCAAACACTGTTCAGCAAGCTCAGCCTGTGTTTCTGCTTGCAGCTTCCAATTTATGAAGCATTATTGGAGCATTCAAGTTTTTGTCTTCCAGCATTTCAGATAGTCTTGTGAAGACAGGAATATACATGTTTTAAATTTTAAGAAAAGAAGTTCTTAAAGTCAACTACTTTTTAAGAAGTCTTTAAAATTGATTCAAACCAGGAGTATATTTTTTATCTTTAACAAGTTACTTAGGAAAAAAAAAAAATTTTTGTGTATTTCTTTTAACACAGGTTTTTTGTTTTCCATACTGTACTTTTTATGTAGGTCAAATGTGTCACTATTTTAGTTGATGTTTACCTGTCTCCGCTGAATTCTTGGGCATCTGTTGCAGAATATGAGCCTGTATGCTCTGTAGTGTTTGTGAGATGGTAACAGTGCTTTTGGGCATGTTGAAACTGTGAGGTGTATTTACTGGTGGTGAAAATCGTATAATATTCAAAAATCTTACACTTACTATTTAATGGTACAATACTTTTTTTTCTTTCTGGTGGGACTAATTGTCCTTAATAAGTATGTGATTACCTAGAGCTTAGATTTTAAGTTTTCCATGAGAAATAAGAATAAACTTTTTGTAGGATACTTTTTTTAAACAGCTATGTTTTGTATGTATGGTTGTGCTTCCTGACCCAAACCAAGTCTGTGATATTTTATGTTGCTGCTGTTATTCATGTTCTTAATTGCATTTTTCAAACTTCTTAGTTAAAATGCCTCTATTGTGTTATGATTGAGATCATACATTTACTTACATAAAGTACTATAATGCAAGAGTGAAAGGAGATTTGAAATAGTTTTGCATGAAACAGCATGTCCACCTATGATTTTACTTGTAAAAATTGTGTTACAAGGAGTAGATTACAGAGAAAGTTGAAGCAATCTGAAGGAAGAAGCTGTTGTTAATATTATAATCATGAAGGGAATTCAAGCCATGGAAGAATTAAGAAGAATGTGCAAATAAATAGTGTAACATTTTTCCTACTGCTAGTGTTTAAAAATTTTTGCTCATTCATTCATTAGTTCACGTAGCTTGTCTTCAACGGATGGCTGTAATGGATGGTAGCCATCCGTTGAAGACAAGCTACAAGAACTAATGAATGAACAACTAGTTCAGCTGTGTTCTCATTTTAGCCCCATGGCAGTTAAATTGATATTCTTTACTTGTAAATGAGATTTTTTCAATAGCGAAAGTTGTAACCCTGGCGAGTGATATCAGCACATCATTTTATCCGGGATTTCTGTAAGTATATGTAACTGCAAAAATGTGTATGCTGTGCTAATGTGAAATTCCACTAAGTAGTCCATCACAAAACAAGCAAGAGAATGCAAGATGCCATGTTCACCCCCCTTGGTCACATTCTGAGAATGACGTATGTCGAATATTTAAGGTATCTACCTGAATGGCTAAGCAGAAAATTTAATTCCCTCCTCATTTCAGACTCACTACTGTAAAGAAGGGAAAAAAAAAAAAAAAAAAAAAAAAAAAA